GGAGGGCTGCACGGACTGGAGCTGGTCGGTTCGATGCCCGAAGGCACGCACGCACGCACGAGCAATGGATGGTGGCGTTGGCAAACGAGGGATATCGATATCGTGGACGCGCAGATCATGCGAGCTGCTGGCGGGCCCCCCTTTTTTTGCAACTACGAGGGGAGTCTGTCGTGGATGGAGCGCGACCTTGGACTGAGTGGCATGATATGTGGCTCTGAGCTGCGAGGGGAGCAAGGCATTGTGAAGAGCCTGGGTGTCAGCGAGGCGTATAATAGAGGCCTTGATTCTTGTGTCTTCTTCCACCTCGTTGTCCATCCACTCTCGCCTGAATGTGCACCGAGCACAAGACAGTGTACCAAACAACGTACCTCATTGCCGCCAGGCCCAATATCCTGCCCCTAACCATCCCATTCCCCACGTGCGTGCCTGCGAGCTCCAGACCATGTTTCCAGCAATCCTCGCCCTCGGTATCCTGGCCCTCACTGCCCTCCTCGTCCGCGCCATCCACCACCGCCCCCAAAAACCATCCGAAACCCCCACAGTCGAAAACTGGCTCGCGTCCCAGCACGCAATCGTAACCTTCGCCTACGCCGGGCCCAACCTCCCGCGGGAGCAGAAACTGCTCCTCCGCAGCCAGCCCAACAGCCGACTGGTCGCCGCCTTCGGCATCGACAACTCCCTGACCACGGCCTCCGTCGAGGTCCACGACGCCTTTCGGCGCGCGGCTGCGAAGCTGGTGGGGAATCATCAAGCGCGGTGGCTGGTCCTGTATCAAGCTGCTGAGGGAATCGTTTCTGACTGGCGGCAGATTGGCGGGGCGTCGGAGGCGGACGGGGCCCGCAGACTGCGGCTGGCGGAGGGGGTGCGTTGTTTGTGTTTTCGGGTTGTGCTTGTTGATGTCTTTGGGAAGGCGGTGGGAGGCGGTGGGGCGGGGTTCGTGGGTGAGGGCGAGGGTGAGGGTGGAAGGGAAAGCCAAGTGGATGGGGAGAAGGGCACGAAAGAGGACGAGGACCTGGTCGTGGTGATCACGAAGGAGATCAACAACCAGTGGGTGGAATCGAAACGTAACGAGAACCTGCCGCGGTCAAAGGTGTTGGAAGACGGCCTGAAAAGGCTCAAATTGGTCTTACCGGACGGGGACGGGGTGCCGCTGACGCCGGAGGAGGCGCTGGGGCTCATCATGCCGCAGTACGAGACTCTGTGGCGAGTTGTACTGTTGACGTTTGTCACGGCATTCCACCGCGTGCACGGGAAAGCGAGGGAGGAGATTACCCGGAGGACGGAGGGGGTGCCGGGATGTCTTGGCGACAGTGAAAAGGAGAAGAGTGCGCTGGGTTTGGCAAAGGTTAGTTCCCATTCCCCTTAATTACGATGGAGGTGTCTGGTGCTGGTGCTGATATCCAGACCAAAGGAGGGCCTGCGACTCTTTCCGTCCAACAAGCGGATCTACAGAACCGGCTCCGAGCCGGCCGACCTGGAGCGCTGCCATCGACGCGCCGAGATCTGGGGGGACGACGCGCTGGAGTTTCGCCCGGAGCGGTTCGACAGCCTGACGGACCTGCAGAAGCAGGCGTACTTTCCGTTCTCGATCGGCCAGCACAAGTGTCCTGCTTATGCGGGGTTCGGGGATCGGATGGTCACGATGCTGGTCGTGGTTCTTGGGAGGATGTTGTCGGCTGACGTGGGCGTTGTGGTCTTCGATGACGAGGAACTGGATGCGGATGGTGGGGGCGTGAAGCCGTTGCCTACTGGGCGGGATGATATGGAGGGCTGGGTGTTGGAGTTGTTGTGACGTCGTGGTTGTTTGTGGCGCAGATGATTAGTAGGAGAAGTTTGGGTTGTGTTTGTGTAAAATAGGGGCTACTATTTTCTGCCTGGCATCTTGTGATGGGTGATAAAGAACGGTAAATAACTCCATGGTTTTCGTGTTATAACTCGTCTCTACACGTTATGCAACGCATTCACCACACGCGTGGTATCTTGGCGTTCGGCAACCCGGGTAACTGGAACCCCTGTGTTTTGTTTTGATGGTGATTAAAGGGGCTTAGTTCAAGAACAGGAATTTCCGCACCCCATTAACGTTATATGAGTGGAGCTCACTCGCCAACAACGCAACCGTGATTCCCCCTTCACTGTATAATGTGGTCTTGATAAAGCACATCTGTAAGAATTCAATCTCAGATTACAGTCATCTTGTAACTTGCGTCGTCAGTGGCTTGGTCTCGTTGCGCTAGGACGCTGGAGCTTACTGTAACCCACACTCGGGTTGATGGACCATGCAGCCGGATCCATGAAGAAAGGATGCAGACTATGCCGCAGCCGAATATCATGCCGACTGGCACTGGCCACAGATCACTGAAGGGGAATACATGTGCCAGGCTTACCAATCTGTCTAACCCAGAGGTAAGCTGCATGCTGCTAGTACCTGTCCGCTGACAGACCGACGAAGATAATTACTTCAGACACGGCTAAACCAGTGTGGAGATCATTGTCGTTGTTTTCATTCGTCTAGATGTGATACGCTTGATGCAGCTACAGCAATGTCAAATCGTGGGCGTATCTTTCGAGGCACCTTCGGTGCTCGCTAACAACTTCCCACACAGGCAAGGGAAAGTAGATGCGGTTATTGATCCCTGTTCTCTCCTGCACGGGCTACACGGGTGTCACAACATCGGTAGACACAAAAAGGAGCGGGGTTCCGGAACCATCAGGACTCGCCGTCCGTCATCTCCTTTTCCACTTCATATACCGGCTCCTCCCCTCACCTCCAATCAATGAATACAGTGTCTGTCGTTGTGCCCAGTGCCTCTTAACCACCCATAACTATTTCAGGGAGTTGCCATGGCTTTCTTTACACTCCCCAGCTTCTGGATTCTCTCCCTCGTCGCTAGCATCTCATACCTCGGATACATTGCGATCTACCGTCGCTATTTCCACCCGCTATCCCATATCCCGGGACCTTTCCTTTGGTCCGTGTCAGGGCTGCCGATAGTATACCACCAGGGCATCAGAGAAGGACAGCTCATCCACGTACTCCCGAATCTCCACGCTATTTACGGCAAGTCAACACCACCCTCCACCGTCACATAGTTATCACCACAACCCTAACCCCCAATCCCCCAGGCCCCGTCGTCCGCATCGCCCCCGACCAAGTCCACCTCAACGACCCGGCGAACTACGAGAAGGTCTACAATGTCGGCTCCAAATACACCAAAGACCCCGCCTTCTATGGTGCCCTGGAGGGGTCCGTCAAGATCCCCATCATCCTGACCGTCAAGTCCAACGAGGAGCACAGGGTCCGGCGCGGGGCCCTGAACCCCTTTTTCTCGCGCCGGTCCGTGCTCGACCTGGAGCAGATCATCTGGAGCAAGACGCGGAAGCTGTGCGGCATGATGCGATCGAGTCTCGATGCGGACGGCGTCTTTGACATCCACCACGCCATCCGGGCCTTCTCCGTCGACATCATCACCGAGTACGCGTACGCGCGGTGCTGGAACCAGATGGACATGAGCGACTTTGGGGCCGACTACCAGGAGGCCATTCGCGGCGTGCAGATGTTCTTGCCCTTCTTTCACCTCCTTCCGTCGCTGGGGGATGTCTTCGCGCTTGTTCCGGACTGGCTGATCGTCCGGGTGTTTCCCAAGTTCCAGATGTGGCTGGATAGCAACGACGTGAGCAACCCTTGACAAGGATATTGTCCTGGTCTTCTCGTATTGTTCCTCGTGCTGAAGCATGACCCAACCCAGCTCATCCGCAAAGCCGTCACCGAAGTCCGCAGGGAGATATCCCAGGGGATCAAACCAGCCCGCCGCACCATCTTCCACGAGCTAATCGATACCCCGGTAACCAACCCCGCCGAACCGGACGCCGATGGCCGCAAGCACCACCAGACGCTCTCCGACGAGTTTGTCTTCGCCGACGCCATCAACGTGACGGGCGCCGGGGCAGAGACCACCGGCAGCACCGCGAACCGAGCCATCTTCGAGGTCCTGAGCAGCCCATCCATCCTGCGCACCCTCCAGGCGGAGCTAGCCCAGGCGTTTCCTGACGCTGAAGCCATGAGCTTGACTGCGCTGGAGAAGTTGCCGTACCTAACCGGCGTGATCAAGGAAGCGTTAAGGTGCGCTCCAATTCATGCTTTCAAGTCATGAAAACATGCATCGGGAACTGACACCAAGGACGGACTAGACTCAACCCCGGCCTACCAGGCCACCTCCCGCGCGTCGTCCCCGCCCCCGGCGCAGCCTTCAACGGCATCGCCCTCCCGCCCGGCACGGTGGTCAGCATGAGCGCATGGCTGATGCACCACGACCGCGCGGCGTTTCCGGACCCGGAAATCTTTGATCCCACGCGCTGGATCCATGCAGACGACGACGAGCACGCGGCAGCCAAGATCATCCGCGCGCGAGAGCGCTGTCTGGTGCCGTTCGGGCGAGGCAGCCGCAACTGCCTGGGCCAGAACCTGGCCATGTGTGAGCTGTACGCGACCGTTGCGGGTGTGTTCCGTTGTTTTGATGATATTGAGGTGCATCCTGGCTTTGGGCGGGAGGATCTGAGGATGGTGGAGCTGCTGCTTGGGTACCATCCGAGGAAGGCGAGGCGGTTTCGGGTTGTGAGGAAGGGGGGTGTTTGTCAGTGGTAGCTTTCCGAGCCCAGTACTTGACGCAGCATCTCGCTCTTCACTCTCACATACGACCATAGGCACTTGAGAACTCGGCATCCCGTCCGCTCTGCCCTAGATAAGCAAGCGACCGCCAGACTAGTAGTTGGGTGGGTGACCACCAGCGAATCCCTGGTGTTGTATGTACTTTTATCTTTTTGTCTTTTTCTTTTTGGCCGAGATCCATCGACTTTTTTACATGGTGGTGGAGTAGTTGTGGATTTGATCGACGAGTGAGTGAGTGGCTTTGAGATTCGGCCTGCTCTTTTTCTCTCTGGTCGAATGCGCTTGCATGGGCTCTCTCCCATAGCTCCCGTTGCCCCCTCCCAACTCCATCGTAGGCAACTTGGCCGAGTGGTCTAAGGCGACGCACTCAAGGATTTCCTTTGCTTCTTTGAAGAGAAGCAAGCATTGCGTTCTCGCAAGAGGCGAGAGTTCGAATCTCTCAGTTGTCAGATGTTTCTTTTTGCAGTTTTGCCTGTTTGTGTGAATGGATGTGTATGGACTGCTCAGGCCCTGGACTTTTGTCGGGGCTAATCAGGGATACAGCGGCTTAGTAGCGCCCGCAAAACTGCTTATCAGTCGCGATAAGGCGGCACTGGCTCTAGGCCTCGCCTGGACCTTTTGTGCAGGACGCCATCGCCGACACCCTATATCCATCCACGCTGACGAGCTCAACCCACCATGGCCGGCCACGACCTGAAAGTTGCGCACCGTCGCATCAGCGACGAGATGCTGCGCACCATCTACGCCTCGGACCAGGAGATGTACCCAGCCCCGCTGTCCTTCGACCGCTTGCGCAGCTGGGTTGACGCGTGTCCCGACCTGTGCATCTGCTTCGAGACACAGGGTTCAACTGAGGAATCGGGCAGCTCAGACACACCGACACCTGTAGGCGTTGTTATTGTCCTGCCACTGCTGCAGGCACACTGGGAAGACGTGCTCGTCGGGAAGGTCAAGGAGATCGAGATAGACCCGGCGACAATGTTTCCAAATGGGACTGCGAAGGACCACGAAGAGGTGGTGGGACTGCATGTCTTTCATATTGAGCGGTTTTTAGCCTTTCGGGACTTGTCACCAACAAGGCCGTTTGTAGAGTTTGCACTACACGAGGTCGCTCGGCGCGTGGCGGGCATGATGACAACATGGAGAGTTGCTGGATTTTCAGGTATGCACATCACCTTGTGTCGTTTTCCAGCCATTCGTGGAGAAAGAAGTGAATTATCACTAACAGTCGCCGATGTAGCTCTGACGGCTACGCCAGCAGGCAAGAGAGCGTTTGAGCGGGAGGGGTTTACTGCCACTGGATACAGAGAGACATTCACAGAAGAGTCGGTTGATGATGTGGGCGATGGAGCCGAGACCGTGGCGCTAAAGGAAGTTGCGATGAGTTGTGTTTACGATGGAGAGAATACGAGCCAGCCTTTGACGCATCTGGACATGGTGGAAAACGACAGTCGCAAGGTTATAGCAACATCCGAGATGGCCGTGAAATACTGCACAGCGGCATGAGGAGCTTGGGGCAAACAAGATATATCCTACATACACATCTACACTTCAGTCATCAGCCACGCAGCGCGACATGGCGCGGAGGTCGGGGTGTGGACGGAACTCGACAAGCAAGTTGGATGTTAGAAATCAACGATGAAGACGGATGAGTGAGAGCATGAACAAATCAAAGAGACAAGCGGCGAATATTAATTTCAGGAAAGCCAGACTGAAGAAGAGACCACACAGACCTAGGCAAAAGAAGTAAAAAGAATTAGGTTCTGACATCTGGCGCCGGGAATTGAGCCCAACGTGGGGGTCGAATCCACAGCCTTGAGGTTGATCGTCTAGTTTGTTCCCAAGACCTGTAGATCCGGGGTAATATTGCGTATGTTAAGAATTGAAGATGTGTTATTTTTGGATGTTATTTAGAAGCATTGTGGAACAATTATGTTTTATTTGGAAAGTCCTAGAAAAGTGATTTTTGATGTGCGCCAATTAATTGGTAATGTACTTATCGACGCCCTTTTCACACGCTAACCCATGTTTCCCCAGCCGTGGTGTGAAGGCAACCTTGCGATTCTGGATGACGGTTGAGGTTGTGATTGCCGTTTCGGATCGATGTGGCGGAGGAGAGCGACAGCAAAATTGATGCGGATCGCGTTGTTCTGGATTATCTCTCTGCAAGCACAGACTCTTCTCCCAAGGTGTAAGCTGTGGTTGTGTGTGGGTGGGTGGGCATGGGTCCCTCCGGGACCCGATAAGTTCTGGACAGCCCTGAAACAAACAGTGGTGTATTGGCGATAAGGGTGCATGCTCGGTTGCAAGAAAGAGGGAGCCCGGAGGGTGATTAAATATAGGCTTGAGCCCCGCTTATTTTCCCACTTGCCCAGTGACATCCTCCGCTGCCCTCTCAGCCCTGTATTTGGATTGGAATTAGCAGCAGCCATTATGCACGTGACGCGAGAGCCCGTGCCTTTAACACAACAGTCGTATCTCTAGAATTATCAGCAATTCAACATTCTCTTCCAAGCCGGATAAGCAGTGAAACTTAGAACAGTACCTTTTTCCAACTAAAGATTTAAAAAGTAATTCTCTAGGGTGAGATTTTTCTCGCCATCGTTATAACTACTACGAAAGATCATCACAACAAGCTCGCATCCAGTAGTCCCCGCTTACTCGGTCTTCAGGCCTTGGCTGCGCCGTCGGTCTCATTGACGGCGATTACAGCCTACACGGGAACTTGGTTATCGTAGTGCCTCCCATCGGATTTGGAATTAAGTTTAAGTCTCAAGTCGGGTTTGACACTTTAAGAAAGTGTTTTTGTGTTTGTCTTGGTTGTTTGTTGAGATTGACGAGGTGGGTTTGGATCGGGCGCGCTTTGTATTACTTTGCAATTGTTGAATCTTGTTGACTAGTTGATGTTAATTAGTGAATGAAAAAAGCGGTTAAAAATGTGCTACATCGATGTGGGAGTCGAATCATGGTAGATTGAGCGGTGAATAGGTGGAGGGATGGCAATGTAAGGATTGCTCAGAGTGTCCTGTCCTATGCCGTTATTCATTGTCAATAATTTTGGGCACTCACTAATTTCCCGTTATATTTGAATCGACTGGACTTACTCGTGATTGTATGTTGAAGCCATGCTATGGATGCGGTTATTCTCCGTCGTTATGGTCTTTATCCTCGAGAATTCGTTGAGTCTGTGCATCCTTCGAATCGCAAGGCAACATTTCAAGGTTCTTGTCAATCTCCCATTACGCCTCCTTATCCCGTGCTTCAATCCAATTTTCCAAAACAGCTCCCAAAACGCTAGACTATCACTTGCCTTTGCCATCGCTCCGACTAATAATAGTAGACCCAATGATTGTCCCCAGTTCTCGGAGATAAGCAACTCTCCGCTCGCCTTCCGAGAGCTCCTTACTGCCCGCGTTATGAAGACCGCCTTTCATCGCGAGCTGCAGCTTCGATATCTGGCGCGATTCTATGCTCTGATGGTGATAAGAACCCAGGTCAGTTCAGCCCTGTGGGAGAAACAGCTCGGTTTTAATTAGCGAGTGCTACTTACCTCTTCAATCGTCTTGCTCATCACATAGCGAATGACAGAGACGTTCTTGGCTTGACCCATGCGAAAGATGCGGCCAACGGCCTGGTCTTCCACTGAGGGGTTCCATTGTGGCTCGAGAATATGAACCCGACTCGCGATCGACAGGTTGTTAAGGCTGTTAGACACCGTGTCAGCATGGATCTCTTCTAGAGGCCCGGGAAAATATGTATGGGCTTACCCCACTGCACCTGTTCCGATGGTCATCAACAGAACCCGAACTTCAGGGTTGTTGTAAAACTCGGCAAGTATCTTCCTCCGCAAATTTGAAGGGACGCTTCCATCAACTCTGCGAAAGTTTAAACCCTGCTCCTCAAAAAGTTTGCCTACGAGATCGAGACTCCGTCTCCAGAACGAGAAAACGATACTAATGATCCTGTTAGTGAAGAGCTGGATAATCCATTGACTTTGTCCACTGACCTCTTGTCTCGAGCGTAATGCTCTGTCACGTTCTCAAGCAAGGCAATCAACTTTGAAGGGTATCGCTTGGGCTCAGAGATGTTGGGGTCGGTGGCGGGGACATGGTTCTGCTCGATTTCGTATTGTACGTCTTCCATCGGATCGTCGACAATATTGCCGAGGCTCGAAACCTCCGCTGGAGAGGCTCCAGCCTTTTCCGATGTGAAGTCACCCTGAATGCAGATCTGGCATCTCAGTTGACGATGTGTCTTCCCGTGCTGTTTATCACAGACGCCCCCAGCATCTCCAGAGAGCATGTCAGAGCTACATTTTGTGCATATGGCCTCTCCTTTCTGCTGCAGGAGACTGATTTGCTCGTCCGGTTCCAGCTGCTTCTCGACATCATCAGTGGTATCACCCATCAGACCCGCACAACCGGTATTGCACAAGATGCGCAACTTCAGCATTGCTGTCAGGATAGATGCGTGCTGCTTCTTCGTTGCCTTGCCGTTGACAGCTTCCTTGATGGATTGCTCGCACGACGTGGCCAGCATATCGTAGTCTCTGCGTTCGGTGTCGGAGAAATCCGGCCGTCGTTCAATGTACTCGACGCCAAGGGAAGACAGGATCGTTGAGGTGCTGCGCCTTAAGCATATCGATCCGAGGAGGAGCTTGAGGTTCTTGTAGTCCGGTATTGGGACTTCGATGCCTTTCGCCTTTCTTTTCTTCCCCATCATGTGCCGTTTGAAAGTTTTACTGTCTTCCAGGAGCGGGACCTGGAGGAACCGGATCAACGAAGCGAGATCGTCCAGAGAATTCTGGACGGGTGTTCCAGTCAAACACCATCTGATTGATGCCGAGAGATTCGCTACGGCTTTGAAGTTCTTTGTTGACGAATTTCTAATGAAATGGGCTGGCAAATATTAGCTCCAAACTGTGCGACAAGTTACTCCGGAGCAATATACCTTCGTCAAGTATTAGTCTATACCAATGGAAAGCGTCAAGTACACCGCCTCCACGACGGCGATCTGACTCAACAGTGCCATAGGTGGACATAATTATGTCATATGGCGGGGCGGTCGACGACGGAAGCGCTCGGTTAGGCCCGTGGTACTTGTAGAATGTTAAGGTCCTGGGAGCGACATGTCTTTGCAGTGTCAGCAGGGGAAGATGGCGATGCAAGGAGGGAATACGCGGAAACTTACTTGACAATCTCATCGATCCAGCCATCCAATAGTACTATTTCGTGTCAGAGACCATGAGAGACATTTGGAATGTGTGTGGTACTGACGTGTAGAAGGAACAATCACCAATGTTGCCTTCACGGGACGTTTCTTGGGATTTCCGGAGTAGTTCTCGGCTTTTCTTGCCATACCAAACTGTTCCGCGCGAGAAAGACTGGCCACGATACTGGAAATCATGGTCAAGGTCTTACCTAGACCCATGCCATCGGCAAGAATCCCC